AGAATGGAAAATTTCCATGACTACCAAACCATTTAATAGCATTGTGGAGTCGTTTACATCAAAATCTATTTTCTCTAGGTGAAAATTACCTAATATCGTGACCCATGTCGGTGAAGATCACTTAGAAAAGTCTCCCTTAATTGTAATAGTAATGTGGCTCACGTTATGTTGGTGAATTTCAATAAATCACTGACATGACAGCAATGCTAATTAACAATCACTGAATTGCTGGCCAAAATCTTGGCCAACAACAAAATAAACCATATCGATGGATATTCAAATTCACCGACATGGTGCACGAGTCTATATAAAGGCGTGTGAGCATACACATCAGAGTTCATATATGGCTAAATTTGCCACATCAATGAACAGGCTTTCACCTATGTGGAAATCATTTCTACATAATTTACTATGTGTTTTGGTTCCTAGGATTTAATGTGAGATGCATTGCCACCAAAAATTAAAAAAAAAAAAAAATTAACGGCCTTAAAAATTTAATGTATAAAAGTTAGCGGTAGGTATATCTTAAATTTTAGAGTTGAAATCACTTACGTGCAATCTATTGCTAACTGCCAATTTTCCGATAACGATACTAGGAATTGACTATGCTTTTAGTGTGTTGAATATATGAAATATACATACCATAGAGAGGTCATTTGAATTTTCAAAAAATGATATATAAACATTCAGAATATTGCTACTATCATACTAATTCTCAAAATAATCTTAACTTTACACTTATTAACTATTAAACATTGTAAAAAATATATATATATATATATTGGATAGGCCGGTAAAAGATAAATTAATTAAAAGAAAGAGAATAAGAAACATAAACTGAAATTCTTATGAGAATAATTATGGGAGATGAAATAAAGATATAAGATGAATGCTAAGCGATATGGAGAGATCTATCTACGCTAGTTTTCAAGAAATATTACTAATGTAATGCAAATATAATTGTTAGAGGTGGAGCTGTTTAAAACTTGCTAAAAAATTATTTTAAAATCTAATTTTTAAATTTTTTTAACAAACTTTTAAATTTATAAGAAAAATATTTGCTTTAAACAAACTTATTGTTTTAAGCTCTTCCAAACAACCTAATATATTTTTTCTTTTTCCTTCTGTACTCTCCTTTCCTTTTTCCTATACAATCTTTATTTGTAAATATATATTTTTTTTTGGGTAGATTTGAGATCATATTCTATATGAGAAGCATGAATGTACAGTTACGTCAAACAAAATTGTTACAAATTAAGAACCTATATAGTTGAAATTAATATTGAATCACATCACTAGTTGAGTTCAATACGCAATAGTAGAGTAGTAGGGAAAATAAATGTAAGAGCATGAGACTGTATATCTACACCTAAGCACAAAACTTGCAACAAATCCTTAAACAAAATAAGAAAACTTACAACTATACCCATTTTTTCCCCTTCTGCTGGTGCTTGTGCTTGTTGTAGAATAAACTACCCAAAACATGATAAAAACAAAAAAAAACAAAAAACAAAAAAAACAAACAGAGAAAGAAGAAAAGAAAGGAAGAAGAAGCCAATATCACCCTCCACGAGTACTTTTCCTCAACACCTAGTTTTAGTTTGCAAGATTTCTAGAAAAAGGAATTTTGGAAAGCCACTCTTTAGAAGCACTGTTTGGTTGGGGATACCTTCACCCAATTCTAAATTTTTTGAAATTTTCCTCATTATAAAATTATTTATGTATTTTTATATATTAATATTACAATTTTTATTTTTCTTAAAATAATTCTCAATCTAAAAACTATTTTTCCCACATTTTTTGTGACAAAAAATGTTTTTTTTTTAACTTTTTCTATATAGATCCACTTGGTAACTTTCTTACTATCTCTTTATGTTGGGATTAGGCCCAACACCCACTTCGGGCCACATATAACCGGCCCAATTAGGCACACACAGACCCAAGAGGAGGAGACATACCCACGTGAGCAGCACCACGTGGGCCAATGAGTTACTTACATGTATGAATACATGTCCGTACTTGGGGCTATAAATACCCCCCAACTACCAACAATGAAGGTAATTAATCTCTACGCTTCTCTCTCTGCAATTACTCCTTGAGAGCATCTCTCTCTAGAATATTGAGTATTGCTGACTTGAGCGTTGGAGTATTTTCCCCGAGGAAACAACCTCGGGATTTTCAGGTATAGAAGCAGCTGAGACTTCAACAGTATTGGATTGTGAAGCTGCCCAAACATTTGGCGCCGTCTGTGGGAAACTGAACAAGAAGTTGTGTAACTTAACCTGCTGAAAGAAAAATGGTTCGAACCTTTACAGGAGGTCGCCCCCCAAGGCATGAGGTGGACGAACAGGATGACGCTCAAGTATCTGAGCCCGGATTGAATGACTATAGGCCAATGCCAAGAAACCTTTTCGTCGGAGGAGCCGAACAGGATCACCTGAGTGAAACAGATGACGAAAGAACACCAACTGGGTATGCAACCTAGCCTGAACAGTTCCAAGTTCCAACAGGGACAAGACAAAGACCTTCTAGACCACATAACTCACAGCATGAACGACCTGAAAGGTCCACAGAACCTGTTCGGACAACCGAGCTCGAAGAGAGAACCAGAGTTCTCGAAATGGCAATGGGAAAAATCCTTGCCCGTCTGATTCCTGATGACCCTTTGATTCCTTTGTTGAACAGGGATGCACAGCCAGCTGCGGTTGTTGCAACTCGAAACTCCCCCGCTCTA